CACACACACACACACACACACACACACACACACTCTTCAGGAGAGAACAAGACAGTCCCTAGATGTGGCTATTGCCTGTAGGATTAAGGAAACTATAGTTAGGAAAGGAAAAATAGTAAGAGAAAGTATTTGCACGACTAACAGAGGCTTGACTGACAAGAGCTTCAAACTCCAATTCAGGGAACTCCTATATTTCCTCCTAACAATGCCCAAGTGTGGGCAAAGTAAAGGATCAGAAGATAAGGACTGAAGACAGAAGCTTCTATGTAACAATGGCCCCAGAATTGTGAAATCATCCAGGTAAGGAAAACCCAGACAGGAATTAAAGGATGACTGTCATGTGCACCTGTTATATTATTTGAGATTATTCGACCATTGAAAGGTGAAGAAAGAAACTCAGTGTAGATGCAAGTAGCCTGTGAGACATGAGCAGAATTCATAAGACATGCTATGTGTAGATGCAGAAGACAGCAACCTCTGAAACACACATGATTGGATAAAATGCATTTTAAATGTATTACATATAACAAGGGAGAGGAAAAAGCAGGTAGCTGCTGTTGTAAGTCCAACCCACAAGGGGAGCAAGCTGGTTCCCACTGCTGGCAGCACAGGGACACAAAAGATGAGTGACCGCGAGGGTCCACTAACGTATGGCACTGCTGCACAGGGTCTAAGAGAGGCTGTCATCTGGCCCTTCGCAAAGGGAACCCTTATAAACAGGAAGTGTCTTTTCTAGACTGAATAAATGAACAGTATTTCCACTTTGGAACGCATGAATTATTTTTATGTACAAAATAAAATCTTCTCTTTAATCAACTGTATTGGGAGCCACCTTTCCAGCCCACAGCAACTCCAAAGATTCACTGTCACCTGCAATGGAAGGTTCTCATCATAAAGTCCACACACTGCATTTAGGGACAAAAATAACAAGTCATAAATTTGGTAAGTCATCCCCTCACTTCACATCCACTGCTCAGTAGTGGTAGGGTTGAAGCCTAAGGCCCACAAAAAGAGAAAATAGCACCTAAAAGCCTACTTGAGGAGCACTTGGAGCAAAAGCAGATGACAGTGAAGAAATGCATTATCCCTAGAAATAAGTTTGGACCTCAGAGAATCAAATTATCCAAAGGGCACAGAAAGAGGGTCAGTTTTCAGTCAAAGAAGGAAGTTTCAATGGAATCCAGCTTCATGGAGAGTAAAAATGAGAGGAAGGGTTTAACTCTGTGAAAAATACATTATGTACACGACAGGAAGGTAGATCAAAGGAGCAGGACATCACCAAGACACGTGCTTTGTTGACCACTAAAAGACGTAGTCATGGTACACACGTGACCACACACATTACACATATAACTGACGGCATCATGGTCTGAGCATCAGTTCTCAATTATCCAGGCTCAAAACGTGGTTTGCACCATCACAGAAAAGTAGATTCATCCCTCCTGGTCTATTCAAATTTAAAGAAATGATCGTTGTATGAATAACATGATCACAGAATGTCAATTTAAAATTTAACCATTAAAGATATAATTGTTACAGGTTCTGGGGACAAGTTCTCTGGTCAGCACACCATTGTTTTGGAGAGTTGGCATGTAGGAAGCTAAGAGATAGCTGGAAGCTTACTTGGTGAGTACAAGTGGTTCAAACGAAGGATTACATCAGCCTAGGTGAACCTGATGCACTTAGTTGAAGTGCAGGAGGAATTCCCTGTGTTAAGGATCACTCATTATTCACCTATTTCTCCACTGTATTCCTATTCCACCAGATCAGAGGGACATCATCTGAGGTACCTCCTCAATGCACAAGTGTCCCCTTGGTCCCCAGAGTCATCCTGAGGGATGCTGCCCCACTGGGAGGGGGACCTACACGGAACATGGTGGTGGAGCCCTAACACAGCATTCAGTTCCCTTTCTCCTAAGGAAGCTCCAGTACACCCACATAGTCATCTCAGTATTTATAAAATAGTTTTCTGCCTGTAAGCAATATTCACACCCCGTACATCCATACAGTTTTGTTCTGTGATCCTTTAAAAATCCATAGCTTCTCCTGGCTGCTCTTGTCTTACTGTGATGCTATTGGTAACCCAAACCTTCCTTTGTTTTACTTCCTTCCATGCAATGAATTTGCAATCTACAATTTTACCTTCCCAAAGTCAAGGTCAGTAATATGTATATTCTATTCTGTAGCATAATCAAATAATTCTGTGCCTTATCTATAAGTTGACTCCAAAACTTTAAAATTAAAAAGATGTTTTATGTTACTATGATTTCATACATAATTGCTTAATGCAAAGTCATACAGATAAGTAGTTATTTTCTTCTAAAATTCTATAGTAGTTGACTTTATCATATATAGAATTTATTTTTTGAGGATCTCTAAAAAGTAAGGTATTTTATTGTGACAGAAATTGCTAGCCATATTTTATTCCAAATGTATACTTCAAATACAAACATTATTTTTCAGATTTCCTTAAAGCCAGGTATAGTTGTGAGACTTAGTTCTGATCATGAGCTATAAAATCCAATATTGTACAAATTTTATTCAGTGTCTTAAAAAGTGGTCTGCAGGTCCAGTCCTTCCCCCTTCCTCTATCTCATTTCTTGCAATAGATTATATTCAGCCTTCACAATCTCTGGAGAACAAACCAGTTACCCTGGGATTTAGATCATTCTGCAGCTGCTACAACTTCCTTGAGGGGTTAACACTTAGGGTTTATGTGAAAGAGAAATAAACTTCCACCTGGACAAAACCACCCTGCTCCCCTAGCTCAACACTGCCTCACTCTGGGCTTTGTTTTGTTTCTATCAATAGAAAAAAAGGTTTTTTTGGTTTCCCTTTCACTGTTTGAGCCCTGACTATCCAACATTTCTTCCAGCAGAAAAACATAACCTACCTGATGCAAATGCAGAAATTATGTCAATATTTGAGACTTTTTAGGGGTGCATCACTTCATAAAGCAGTACATTTAAGATGCTCAGAGTGAAGGTCAGGGTACTGATATAAGAAACAAAGTGGGCACAAGGGCTTTTTGAGGTGGTCTAGTGACCCTTATTTCTAATTAAACATATTTCAGAATATATTCATAACTGAAGATCAGTGTAAAATAATGGCTGCATTTAAGTGGCTGGGGTGTTCCAGGAGATTAAAAACCAGAGGGACAAGGAAGAGAGGAGAAGGAAGAAAATAAGGTTCTGAATGTGAACTAGTCTACATGGCCAATATTCCATCCTAAAGATCCAAAGCTCACAGAAAATGCCAAGGCAGAGGTGCATCTGGAAAATCAGCCTGTCTATTCAACTCAGGTTCTCATTTCTCTTATCATTTCACGACTGATCTTTCCAATGGCTTAGTAACTTCCTTTCCATTTCGAGGATTGTTCCTTTAGGTACCCACACTTGTATTCCTAGCTATTTTCACTTTATTCTTTCCAAAACTCTGTCCCTTCCCTCCAACTGGCTCATCAAAATCCCTGGAGATCTTGCAAACCAGAAATGTGTGTTCTGTGTACCCTGGTCAACATGATTATGGTCTTTGCAGCTTGGTCGTACTCAAACATAGACAGTGTATACAGAAGAGAAAGTCATAAAGCCACAGGGTTGTGGCCCAGGAAGATGACAACAATCCTCTGGATAAGTCGCTTACATAGAGATGTTCAGAGGAATCTATAAGCAAAAGGAAATCTGAATGCTTGGCCAAGGGGAAGTGAACCTGTTGAGGTCCAGCTTTTTTGTTGGTCTCTGTGATCTTCTTCAGGGAAAGGTCAGTCACAGCAGCTGCCTGAAGCTCAGATGCTGGCCATGTGATGCGTTTGCTGTCCCTGTGTCCTTGCTAAGGTTGTGGAATTTCAGCTACTCATGTCCTCAAGACACTAGATTAAAGGAGAGAAAAAAAAAAAAAAAAGGAGAGAGAATGAGGTTACTTTATATGTATAAACTACCTGGGTAACTCGTCTCTGTGTTTTTACATATATTGTTTCAGTTAATCTCCACAACAAACCCAAGAAACACTGAGCTGGTTCTTAGTTTAAAATAATTCATCATTTTAAAAATAGAATTTACTACACATTTTAATATACAAGAGGCATGTGTGAGTTACATGTTTAACTTTGTTTGTTTTGTTTTGTTCAAGCAGGGCTTGAACTCACTATGTGGCTCAGGCTGGTCTCAAACTGAAGATGATTCTCCCAAGTGCCAAGATTACAGACTTGCACCACCGTGCCTGGAAGTATTTGTTTACTCTTTACAATAGCTCAATACCCAGACAATATTTTCAAGCTGAGGAAACCAAGGCACACAACCAGCAGTATTAGTGGTCTAAATAAATTGGTAAGGACTTTATGAAGGATTACACCCACTTACTGATGTGGAATCTTACTGATGGACTATAAGATAATATGGCATTTTGAAATATATATGAAAATTGATTTTAAGTTAATAATTCCTTGTAAAGAATTAAACTTAAGAAAAATCATCAGACCTGTAGCATCTCAAGTACAAGCATGCCTTCTGCAGACCAACTGACAGAAAAACAATAATGAAATAAACTAGATCATCAAGAAAAGAAATTAGTAGATAAATCATGGCATATCATAAAATGGAATATTTTTCATATTTCAAAATTTATTTTAGGATATTATTGAATGATAATAGAAAACAGTTACAGTGGCATGGTAATTATTAACTTCTAAGATACAACAGCTATTAGTTCAAAATGATAGAAAAGTAATTTTCCTCTCCTTGTCCTAAAAACAATGATCTATTCAAATATAAGTTACAGTTAAAAAGTATAAAAGAAAAAGTGTATGGTTGCTAACATTGGAAAGAGAATATTTTCACAAGACTGTGAGTTTTGAAAGGCCAGTGCTGACCATGGCTGAAGGGCTACCTCGTCAGCGTGGACAGAGGCCCAGGTAGATACAGCTGGGGGAGAAAGCTGCAGGTGAGCTGGGGCCCCCTGCACAGCATTTCCTGTGCCCTAAGAGTTACAGTCACAACAGGAAGAAGGACTTAAAGCTGGCCACAGATTAAAGAGCTATGAGTCAGGCCCCTTCTGACCATCACACCTGTGTGTTTAAGGGAAGCACCATTGTCAGAGGCTTAATTAACCTGTCAGCCTGAGATGAGCGAGGCCTTCTAGGGTAGAGGCTGCTTCCCTCGGAGATCAGCCTGCAGGTCCACACAACAACCCCGCAGACAGAAAGCGTATAGTCAGCAGGGAGTTGGACACCACTGTCAAAGGAAAGGCTGGGCAACTACGGGTAATAACCAACACGTATTTTTATTCATAAACATATTGGGCAACTGGGTATCACCAGTTATTAAGGTTTTAAAAACTGTGGCCAAGACAGTTCTCTAAGCTTCATTAAGCCTATTGTCCTCTAGGAATGTAGGCAAAACACCCTCCCAGTCCTTCTGCTTCTTCGTGGGGTTCTGAGTAGTTCTGAATAGGGCAATTGAGCAGAAACACACACTGCTTGCAGGCTTGGCCCAAGCACAAACTCTCCCCCTCATTATCCTTCTCTCTCTCAGCACTTGTGGCAGGAATGAGGTGAGTGGGCTCGCACGGAGACCCGCCCAGGAGAGCTTCCTGTTCAGGAAGAGGAGCACCGGCCTCTGTGTGAGGAGGAACAAAGTCAGCCATAACCACTTCCGCTGGGTTAAAATACTAAGGAGTTGGGGATTATCTAGTATAACAGACAGTGCTAATGCTCTTACTAATATAGCAGCATGAAAGAGAAAGACCAAGGCTATCCAACAGATTTTGTCCCCGGAGGAAACAGAGATAATTCAGGGGAAAGATAAGAGATCCATTAAATTCTGTCTCTCTTTTATTTTAAGAAAAGTTGGGCAGTATATTATACTCATTCATTAGGAAAAGAATAAGGTACTAAAGAAAGCAATGAAAAATAACTAAAAGTTTCTGGAAGTTGAAATTATTGCCTTAATAAATATCAGAAGAAAGTTTGGAAATATCACACGGAAAAATATACCAAAAAAAGCACACAAGAACTGGAAAATATCGAGGAAATAGTCAAACAAAAGTGAGTAGATAGTTTTAAAAATGTTCTCATAAAATTCCAGAATGTAATTTTAAAAATCCTTCTAGTTATTTGTATTATCGGTAAAAGGAAAATAAAATGGGTAACATATATCTGTCTGTTAGGATTCTCGGCCTGGATGTATAGCAGTTTCTCTCTGACACAAACACAGGGGAGAAGTGAAAAGAAAATCTCCATCTCTGTCTCTGACTCTGTCTCTGTCTTCTCTCTCTTTTCTCCCTCTGAGTCTCTTCTCTTTTCCTTCAACTGTCAACTTCCTGTGTATTTTCTATTTCCCCATATTCCCCTCCATCTATCTCAGATAATCTCCACATGACCTTCCAGGCAAATACATTTGGCAATTTCTGACTTAAACAACAGAGGCATATAATTGTCAATAATTATGACCAGTAATAACTGTAATCTAAAGAAATAGACCCAGGATCACTGAACTCTTCTTTAAAGCCACGTACCTGTTTTTCCTGAGGGGAAAATGAGCCAGATCCACCAATACTAACCACCAATGCAATCAACGATCTTGTCTACTTACACTTGGACTTCACCAATAGATTACAAAGTTATCCTTCACAGCATCAAATAAGGCAAAAACAACTATTAGTGGATTTAGGGTAGGTAAGGGTCCAGACCTAGGGGCGATGAGTCATACTGGACCATGATGCACACTCTTGAGTTCAGCACCAGCACCCTCTGCCTTCCTCTGCTGTCATCACCTGTCCCACACCCAGCACGGTCCCTGAAGACCTGAGGCATTGACATCTGGTGTCCTGTGATGACTGCCTTCTATTGAGGAAAAGAAAGTGTGATCCCCTATGGACTCTCTTTTTTGTTATACCAGTTTTCATCAAATTACTTTTCAAAATAAACACAAAGCCTTCAGTATTCATCCTCTTTATTACATAAAGCCTGAAGTCCTATACCCAAAGTGACACCACACCTAGGCTGTATCCTGCCAAAAAGGAAAAACAAAAGCAGCGATAGCCAGCCTGACTTAACCGTTGGTATTAAAGACCAGTTTGAGAGAAACCTGAAGGGTACAAGCATTCACACTCCCATGTCCCTGACCGGGACATCTTGTCTACACATTCCCTTCACACAAAGCAAAATACGAAAACAATATAACTCTCCTCGGAGAATTTTCAAACCTATTGTTCAGAGAAAAAAAACAACAACATTCTCTGTCACATTATACCAACTTCTACTACTTAAATATTTCACAAATTGACTTGGCTCTCTGCCAATCAATTTTTTAGTAGCCCTTCTGGAAAACTATTGCAGGGTATTTACCAGTTGAAAATCATCTACATCATAAAGAAAGGCACCTATCATAATCAGACATTAACTCGTTTGATTACATATAAAGAATGGTTTATGGGCTGGGGATTTAGATCAGTGGCACAGCACCTGCTTGGCAAGCACAAGGTCATAAGTTCAATTCCTGGTACGGTAAAAAACCAAACAAAATAAAAGAATGCTTTAAAGTCCCTAGTTACTTATTTATAAAGATATAAATTTTTTTCTATTGTAAAAATAGACTAATTGACATAACTGGAAAATATAGTTATTAGTAATAAAGCAGAAATAGACATTTGCCATATAATACACTAATTTGTGTGTGAATAATTTGAACCCCAGAAATTCTCCTTTTGAATCCACCATCTCTATTACCATAACTGTCAAAAAAAGAGAAAAAGTCTTTGACTATAGATTTGTTTTATTACATGGCATTAGAAAAAAATTTCCAGTGTTGTAAGTATTTACAATTTAAAGTATTCACCAAAGAAGCTACTTCAAAACCTTAAATTTTGTAGCCTGAAATGCAAAAAGAAAAAAAGGAAAAAAATCCATCTTGGTTTCAAAGGGGCAGGAAAGAGATTTGGGGGAGAAGGAGGAACAGAGAAAGGGTCACAGTTTACTCCCCAATTGTGTATTTGTGTCTCTGTGTGTATTTGTGCCTATGCACTTAAACTATGTGGGTTAAATATTTGAAAATAATAATTTAAATTTATCAGGCATTAATATGTACCATCACTGATATTTTCATTTTCCTTTGAGAAATTGAAGGGCCAAATGACCCCAATTATATTGTTTTATTTATATAAATATTTCCAGAAATGCAGCAGTTCTTGTATGGATGTTAATATAGGGGAAAGACTATTGGTTAATTAGTAGGTGACAAAATTTGGCAATGTATTTTTTCCACCGAACCATCATAGAAAGTTGTTTCAGAATATCATGCTGATTAGAAACTGTACATCATTTGACGCTATCTTATAATTATGCCTTCTATATAATGCTTCTTTGTTATCATTACCTACTTTATCTTTGGGTGGATGAAATATGTCCACTTGCTTATCTCTGACTTGCAAGATTAACACCTTGTTTTAAAGATAGTCTGAAATGATTATCTCAAAGCGTTAAAATTCTTTTTGCTTAATTATGCCAACAATAACTGCTTACTTCCTATAGTGAACGTCAACGGATTTAGTAAGGATGACGTCTTCATCTTTGAGAGTCTCTTCAATATCCTGCAATATATCAACATGGAAATTAAGATTTCCTTTTAAAAATAAGACACTTGCTACATCTGTATATTTATATTACTTTTGTTTCCATAATAATGCTCAATTACTTGCTTTGCCTCTTTATTGGATGGTGATTTGCAGGTTTATATTTTGTGTCGTATTTATCCTACAATTTTAGATAGTCGAAGTGACTATAGCCACCTTTTCTTCAGTCATGGCTTCTAGATGAAAAGTGAATTATTTATTCATCTCCTAGATTTTCAGAATACATTTGTGCTTTGCTGGAAAACAGTCTGAAGTAGTAAATTTTCTAAGAATTGCAAATTCAAAAATGACCTTATCTTGCATTCTGAAAATAATAAGGCCTTAGCTGGAGATATAATAGTTAAGTGTGTGCATTAGAGATGCTTTCACGCCCGGGCAATAAAAATCACAATCACGGCGCTTCTTTTTCTCCTCTAGCAAGAAAGAAGTCTGGAGCGATGTAGCTGATTGGGATTCAGATGCCAGTGCAGGGCTGCTGCCCCATCCGTCACCGCATCCATAGGAAGGCACAGCGATGGTCCCCAAGGAGGCCCGCCTGCTGCTCCCTGGGGCCTGCTGTTAGTTTACACGGAAGGGATGGAAGTTAGAAACCAGCTCCCCTCATGTGGGCAGATGGCCCCATTATCCAGGGGACTCCTTCTAACTCTGAGATCTTTAAAGTGGAAAGGGAGGCAGAGTCACGGGATGGTGGCAGGAGGACTCAGCCCAGCACTGCTGGCTTTGAGCACAGAAAGGCCCACGAATCAGTGCAGTGGCTTCTAGAGGCCACGCACCGAGAGGCAAAGAATCAAATTGTATCTGGAAACTGTGGAACACGGCCCTGCCCGCCCCTTGGTTTCAGCGGTGCGAGACCTGCCTAGGGCTTCTGATAGCATGAGATGACGAGCCGTGAGATAACGACTTGTGTGGCCTCCAGCTACTACGTTTGCTGTGGGACTGACAGGAACCAGTGCAGCGTCCAAGGGGCTACGCTAAAGCAGGACAGATGGCAAAGGGCCGAGCCAGGACAATGTGCGTCCTGTCACCAGAGACCCAGAAGCTTTCTCAGACACACACCCAGCAGATTTCTATGTGCTCCTCCTGAACCAGAATCAGGTCTTTTACCTAAGCTAAGTGCAACAAAGGCCAGGAGGAGCAATTGGTATTTCAGCCTCACCATGGGTTAGCCTGGAAGAGAGCTCAGCGTGGCTTTGGAGGAGCTGCTCAAGAGCACCGTGATCCACTCTCTTCTGAGAACTCCAACGTGTCCTCCTCTATGTTCCCCCAATGGAAATAGGAATGTGTGTGGCTCTAACTCTTGTGAAAAATAAATTCTGTTACCTGGGTGTGGTGGTGCACGCCTATAATCCCAACACTCAGGAGGCTGAGGCAGGAGGATCTCTGTGAATTTGAGGCCAGCCTGGGCTATAAAGCCATTTCAGTACCAGGCTGAACTGCTGTGCAAGACCCTGTCTCACAAAAATTTAAAAACAAAAAAACTAAACTCTGTGAGTGCATGTGTGTGTCCATTTGTTGTGATTATAGAAGTTACTGAATGGGAAGCATTAACTTCTGCTTATTAATTGTACTTAGAAGTTAAAATCTGTCAATATGTGTGTGTGTGTGTATATATATATATTTTTTTTTCTTGGTACCAGGAATCAAACTCAGGACTCCACACTTGCCAGGCAGGTGCTGTGCCACTGAGCTAAATCCCCAGCCATACATGTATGTATATATAATATATATATACACACATATAGTATATATATATATACACATATAGTATATATATATATATATACACATATAGTATATATATATACACATATAGTGTATATATATATACATATAGTGTGTGTGTATATATATAGAGAGAGACAGGGTCTCCCTTTATAATTCTGGCCTTCCTGGAGCTCAAGGTAATCTTCCTGCCTCAGCCTCTCAAGGGCTGGAATGACAGGCATGCACCACCATGGCCGGCAATGTCGAAATTTTTGATTGTATGACTTTTTTCAGTTAATTGAACAAATGTCTTTAATTTTGTTTCCTCTCTTATGTATTTGATATTTCTTCATATTCTATAACTACTGTTATTTCAAAATGAGGATTTCATGTTTTGTTTTCCAGACTTTCCCCTTCTCTGTTACTCACAAAGGAAGCCATCCAGGTCTCAGCTCTCCAGTGACTCCCGGTGCATCTGCTGTTTCCGTAGCTTGTCCTGAGTGATCCTTTTTGTTTTTCTGCGTGACCGAGATTTTCTTTTGGCACTGAGTTCTCTTTACTCACTTTTCCCTCTTGCCGTCTCAACCTTGGAAATAGTTTCTGCATTTGCTTTTCACTTATTAAAAATACAAAGTGAAGAATTTTCTCCTAAACACATTTATCATCGCTCATTTTCCACTTTGTCTCAGGTAAATGCCAGGCTCCCCTGTTCGGCACTCATTCCTGACGGTGAGCTGCTCCACTGAGTTCATGGAGCTGATTCGGAAGCAGTAGCTCCTCTGAGCCCACCGGAATGTACACGGAAACGCGCGATCTCAGATGCAAGACTGACGGGGAGCTGTTTCCGCAGGAAACGTTACTGCTGCCTGTAGAGAGCGAAGGCAGATCCCACGGTGAGCAGATCCCCCTTCTGGCTGGGGAGATGGACGCGTTCAGGTCGCGCTACCGGATCACAGCCCCAGGAGAACAGCGCACTGACTGGAAAGGCCTTGGACCGCCAGCTCCGTTTGAGCCACCAACCCACCTCCTCTCGGGACCGGAAGGGCTCGGACAAAGACGAGGGAAGGGGCAGAGGAGATGCGGAGCACGCATCAGTCCTGTGCTGCGCGGGAGCTGCCCCACATCTCATGAAAATCAGAATGTTTTCACCTCATTGTTTCTGAGCAGCGGCAGAGAACTGGAGAGGAGGGTCACACTCACTTTAGGGGAGAAGCTTCCTACCTTTTCCACTCACGCACTGACTTGAGGGAGTCATCTTTGAGCATTAAAAGTGTGTATTAAAAATGATACTTTGGAGGAATAATATCAATAAGGACGTCCCTGTAAAAGCTTCCATCTTGGCTGATTTCATGAAAAGATTTAGGTAACTCATCATTTTATTTCTTTTGTGGCCATGCCTGCTGGGGGCCTGTCCAATACTCTTTCTTACCCCTCTCCTCCTATGGAGCTTTCATCTTATTTGGTGCAGTGGGGAAATCAAGTGTCTTCCAGGGAGAGTGGTCACATGACACAGTCCTGGCCCATGAGATTAGACAGAAGTCACTGGGCGGAGCTTCCCAGAGATTCTGGAAACAGGGCACTCAGCTGCAGTAGCTCCTCAGTCCAGTTCCTTTCTTTACCTGCCCGAAGTTAATAAACGTTATACTTAGAGCTCAGGCTCATATTCTGCAAATGTGAAAACATGTATTCTGGTCTCGTTGTAAGATGGTCTCTGGTTGACCTGGGGCCTTTACAACATCCTCTGCTTCCCTACGATCCCTAAACTACCATCGCACAGTTTCCCTGTTCCAAGCCTCTGCAGTAGACCCTGGGATAATATTCTGCTCTGCAAGGAGGGCCCTGTCCTGCTCCCTGTACACACATACCTCTGGATGCCCATTTACTGATGTTTGGTTAAGGTAATTGCAGATGAAGATTATGATGGGTAAACAGGGAAGGCCATAATCCACCGTGTCAGTCACCCCTGGTTCACAGATAACCCAAATCCACATTTGTCTTTAAACCAAGCAGAACCACGGGAGAACAGTCTAGAAACTTCTAACTATGGAAAAAACCACTTTCATGAAATAAATGATCATTGACACTTATATTGGTGAAATAGTGGTCAGGCACCAGGCCTCAGATTTGGAAAGGGGCTCATACCTCAAGACCCAAGAGCCTTAAGAGCTCAAAGGAGGACCTGGGCCCCTGTGAGGGCTGCACAGCGGGCAGTAATTTAGGTTTGAAAGGAGATCCCTAAGCAAGGAAATTCCTCTGTTGCTTTTTGCTAGATTTCCTATCCCTTAAATTTCTTGTAAAGTTAATAACATAAACTTGGTTCAGCTGTTCCAAGGGGGAAGTAAGGAAGGAGAAAATTGGATATCCTCAGGGAGTTATACATATTAGAGACACCAAAGCCCAAGAAGGAGGCAAAAACAGAAAAAAAGAGGTACAACCAATCAAGGAGCTATCATACCTGCGTGGAATTTTTTATTCTGGAGAGACTTTGGCCTACAAATTTATATCACACACTGCGTATGCTGGAAACAGCTGATTTCTGTGAAAGACAACGTTTATAAAGTCCTGCCTTTGGCACGGAACTACTTTAAATATTATAGTTTTTCCTTTAAAAACATTTCCAAGCACCTGATATGTGCCAGATATTAAACAAGTTATGGTCAAGATTTATACTCAGCTTTGGAAAAGGATTCATTACTTTGCCTTTCATAGCTGTAGACTGCGGCATAAGTCACGGTGCGTTCTGTGCTTCCCGCCCACCAGGAAGCTTGGTTTGGCCACACAGATTAGGATCCCAGGCCAACTGTGGTCGCAAAATAAACCCTTTTCCACCCTGAGTAAAACGGCATTTTCTTTGCAAACTAGATGTCTCTCAAATTTTATTAGCAGGATAAAAATAACTGATTACATAAGCCTGGGCAAGAAACCCTTAATTTCATTTTAGAGTTCTCTACTATGACACGTGCCGTACAATAGAAAGACACACAGATTGTTTCACATTACCTGACATGCTGCAAATTACTACTGGAAATTTAGACTTTCAGGGAGATACAGGTGTGTTTCAGTTTGGTACATTTATTTCAATATAATTTAATCCTGTTCTAATTTTGTTTCTTAAAAAATATCAAAATACCCATAGATTTCCAGCAATTCAGGCTTATTCTTCTACATCGAGGAGGGTCTGGGGTGTGGAGGGCTTGCTTAGCATGTTCCAGGTCCTGGGTGCAAGGTAGTGCGTGTTTGTGTGTGTGTGTGTGTGTGTGTGTGTGTGTGTAAACACAAAACCATGAGTTATGCAATGCTGCACACGATGTAAATTCAGGCTTCTGCAGCAAGACTTTGAAGGCTTTGCTGCCCACTGTTGAAATCTTGAAGACAGTGCTCTGCCAGAGCTTCAAAACCATGGGAAAAACAAAGTCAGAGTTACCCCACGGTGCAACAGGCATTATTCACAGGCTCCAAAGGCAGAATCATTGAACTCCACCAGGCTTACTAACTGACTCGCATTAACGGTGAA